GCTGATTAGGGGGCTGCCTATAAAAAGCTGACAGTTGAGTGAGAGGAGAGAAAAAGAGCGTCACCACTTATGCCTCCGACTAATCGCCTTGCTTTGTTTTTTGTTTTTTGTCTCATTTTTGTAACATGAGTGTCGGTGAATAAACACCCGGTTGGTTTGCACCTTATCTTGCCTCAAGTCTCCTGCTTCATCCAGCCACAAAATGGTCGTCCTAACACTGATATAACATTTTTGTGTTTTTATTTTCCAGAAGCCAAGCTGTGAGGTCGTCTATGCAGTGTTGCCAGTTCTGTAGCTGCTGCTGCTCCACTAAAGGAGGATGTCAGTGTCATGGTCGAGCTCAGTCTTCGATCACGAGAACCTGCACACTGGCCACGTTGTGAAGAGCCACTTCCTGGTGCCCCGGGTGGATCATCCACCCACCAGCGTCCACAGGGTGGGCTGTACCAGCGACCAGAAGGCGGGGTTCAGGGAGTATATCCTGACTGAACTCCAGTAGGAGCTCACCAGATGATTCTCCAGGGTCAAAGAGAAGTCGTGATATGAGCCCTGTATATGAGATAGAAATGAAAGTTAATTCTGTATTTAGCTAAAAGTACGAAAGATGAAAATCTGATTTTATTCAAAGGACCAGTGTGACATTTTGGAGAGAGTTCCTGTTGACTATGTTCCCCAGAGTCAAGAGTGATATGAGTTTCTTTATTGTCCTGGGCGTGTGTAGCATCCATTAGCACAACAACTCAAAGCTGGAGGAAACTGCTGGGTTAGATACATCAAAAACTACCTTCAAACAACTCCAAAGCTGTCACAATCTTTATGGTTTAGGGTTAAGTACTGTGTCTTACTCACCTCAGGCTGTTTTGAGCCTAGCTTAGCCCAAAGACTGAAAGCAGGGGAAAGCTTCTAGTCTAGTTCCATCAAAAGTGGTGAAAATCCATTAACTCCTAAGTTGTGTGGTTGACACTATGTTCAGCGATTAAGATTGTCTATTAATTTCTGTTCAGAACACAGTTCAGCCTTTGACGTGATTGGACCCTACACTGTTCCATAAGTAGAAGAGATTAAAAGTGTTGAAAAATGCACCTTCTTATAACTCCAGGGACGCCTGAT